TTTTTTTTTTTTTTAATAAGTATTGACTCATCCTTTTGTCCTGGTCAAAAGGAAATACAGAGCATCCACAGAAAATTCAGAGTGGTTTCTGTATTGGCAAAAGTCATGCCCTGGGAGATAATTGGGTGAGGTGTCTGCTGGGAACAGGTGCTGTATCAGATATAAAAGGTTCCTTTACTCTCCATCTCATCCACAATGTACATAAAAACTGGGACTGAAGAAGACCAAGTGATGGATTGCAACAGAAGGCCAAAGGAAAGGATATGAGTCATTAAGATTGTTCAAACACGTATAATCATCCACTTTGAACTTAAACCATGGAAAGACAGCTTCTGTAATCAGCCAGAGAATCACTATGGGTAGCTTTTACAAGCAAAGAGTAAATATGGAGATATTTCTTTGCATCACTAGAAATGTATTCTCACTGATAGACTTTTTTTAAGACTATAAAGTGCTACATTTACAGTTTCTAGATCTGCAAAATGGGAAGAATAATACGTATACCCTGGGATTGGAAGATTCTGTATACTTAAATGTAAAGTGCTTATAACAGTGCCTGGCACCAGAAAAAATTACGATGATGTAAAGTAATACATTCCTAAGAATCATTGAGAATCTTTTTTACAGTGGTAAAGCAGTACTGCTTTTCAGAATTTAGATTAATCACTATTGCTAAAAAAAAAACACTATGGCTTTCTCTACATATCAAATAATAATAGCACAAAAGTTGGTAGCCATTTTAAATCCTATTTCCAGCAGTTTTATTTTCTTTTTTACTTCATTTCTGAATATTCATTGTTGTTGTTGAATATTCTGAATATTCATGTTGTTTTAACGTACACCAAGGAAACGGCAACGTGAAAACTATGATATCTTATTTTAGTAAAAATACCTTTAGTTAATCCCTTTGGACATTACTTCTAAAGTCTAAATTACATTGTAATCTGTTCTATGGGAAATGTGATTTATGAAGCAATTCTTTTCTGATATTTGGTTGGTATTTTTTTTATGTAAAAAATTAGCTCAATTTTAATCTGAAGAGAGCCACTCCCAAACTGACATGTTGTCTTGTTCTCACTGAATCAGTCAAGACGAGCCTGTTCATTTACTTGAATGGACATGTGTTAATACCGTGGTTAATGACAGTATATCTGGATTGACATGTATCATCAATTAAAAACTATGAAACTTTTATCCAGCTCTTTGACCTCTATCTTGGATAATGGACCCCATGGAGGATATGCTGCTCACTATAAAATCTCTTCCTCGAATTCTTAAAAAGTTAAGAAATCTGTGGCAAGGTATATAAGAAGGGTACAGAATAGGTACCCTAACGAGCAGAGGTGAGAATCCATGAATTCTGACACAGAAATCATCACACCTCTCAGAGTATAAGCCATCTAGCTACATCCGGAAAGATGAGCAGGGATTCCACAGAAGAAGTCAGAGACTTTTTGAAGAAGGAAGTTTGTCTCATGTGTTCAGGTGGTGGCAAGAAACCCAGGGAGTGGGTCTCTTTGTCTGTAAAATGCATTTTTACAGACAGAGCAGAAAGAACTGGTCTTTTAACTACTTAATTCTTCTGAACTGCTTTCAAGCTCTTCCAGTCAACAGAGAAAATAATACACAAGATGTATGATAATGAAGACTCTAACTTACAATAAGATTCCAAATAGTAAAGCTGAATCACTTGGCTCTATCCATCCCTCAGGTCATGGAAACAATGAGATCTCTTATTTACTTACTGCCTATAATCAAATGTGATTCAGAAAGCTATTCCCCTGCCTCCTCTTCACACTATGATGTGTCAGGCAACGCACACTCAAAAGCTGCCCAAAGTTGGGTCGGAAGAAGGGAAGCAGAGCTGAAATGGGAATCAAAGAAACTCACTGAATTTTTTTAAAATCATGTATTCCTTAAGGCATCCGGAGAAGGCAAAATTCCCAGCACATGTTTCTGCAGTTCCAGACATTTCCTTAGATTTGTTTTCCACTTTTTAGTGAAAGTATTCAAGATTAGGTTAGGTGGCAACTTGATCCACTGAACACTCATCTGGCAACTTGTCTTGGAATTCTTTTCTTGATGGAGATTAAATATCTTGGAACAAAGTTGAAACAAAGGTTAGAACTGGGGCCACGTTAAGACTTGTCCATAAGGTATGCGGTATGTGGTTTACTCCATTCCGTGCCAAAATGTGATGTGCTTTAGTGAAGCTCATAAATGAAGCTCATGAGAAACACAAATGTGCGTCTCTGTTTAGTATTTCTGAGCAGCACTCCCCCAATTAGCACGGCCCCGGGATTGTCGCTGGCTCTCTTCTACCCTCGTCAATTCACTAAAAGCAATTTGATCACAGCCAAGCTTGGCCCTGAGATTCTTTGAGCTGTTGAGCTGGTATATTCCCGTTAGAGGGAAGATCGCCTAAACTCCAAATAATGGACTTAACAGAGAATGAGATGAAATATCCCTGCTCTGGTTGGCTGACTACTAAGATAGCTAATGTTCTCACCTCCTGGTATTTGTGGTCTCATGTAATCTCCTTTTGTGCAGACTTGACCTAGTGACCTGATTCTAAGGAACTGAACATGGCAAAAGTGATGGGATGTCACTTCCAAGATTGTTTTTTTTTTTTTAAACAGATGGAAATCCCTGCCCCTCTGACTTTTTTTTTTTTTTTTTTAAGATTTTATTCATTTACTCATGAGAGACACAGAGAGAGAGAGAGAAAGGCAGGCTCCATACAGGGAGCCTGATGTGGGACTCGATCCTGGGTCTCCAGGATCACGCCCTGGGCCAAAGGCAGGTGCTAAACCCTGAGCCACTCAGGGATCCCCCAAGATTGGGTTTTAAGTCTGTGACTCCCCTCTTGCTGGCAGTATATTTTGCTAGCATGCGCTCTCACTTTATGGCTCTTGTTGCTTGCTTGCACTGGGGGAGCGAGCTGACATATTTCAAGATGCTAGTGGTCTCTGGCCAATGGGTAAAGGAGGCCCTCAGTCCAAAAGCCTATAAGGAATAGAATCCTTTCAACAGAATCGTCTATGCATGTGAATGAGCTTGGAGGCACACTGAGATGACCGTGGCCCTGTGGGAATCCCTGAGCCAGGTAACCCAGCTAAGCCACACCCAGGTTCCAGGCCTATAGAAACCGACCTCATTAATGTTTTAAGCGTCTAAATTCTAAGCTCGTTCGTTACACAGCAATGGTGTCTGTCTGCTTACAGAAGTGGTAAGGCTCAGAAGTGGGAGTACAAAAGTTGGAAAGAGGATAGGTATGTATATTTGTGTCTGCCTGAGTCACCAACCCAGAAAGAATCTTTGTGGCAGATGTTTTCAGTATACTGTTTATAATCATTGCAACAACCTGGCAAGGGTGGTGTTATTCACATATTTTGGATAAGACTTAAGTAATGGTAACTAAGTTACTTGGCACAGAACACATAGCTAGGAGGTGACAGAGATAAGAGAGAAACAAAGTCTAACTCTGAAGCCCTGGATCTTTCCTCTGCCTTAACCATCATAGGTGGAAAGGTTTGGGTGGGGTTTAGGGTACAAATAAGAATCATCTGTAGATCTTTCTAAAGCTTGTGATGGTGCTTTCCTTTCTGGAGGTCCTGACACAGTTTGAAATGAAAGCATATCACCCAGTGGGGCTGCAGCAGAAAAGCACTGGACTTCTAAGTTCAGCTATCACCTTGCAGCTTGGGCCTATAATTAGAAAATATAAATTGGACATTTAAACCACATTCTGACTGAGGATCTGGAAGTCCTTAGCAGCTTGCGTGGTGATTAGGAAGATGATCATGTGACTGGGGCACTCTTGCTGTTAGGTTGTTTTAATTAAGTTACAAATAAAACAATAGCATCCAGAGTTCTGCTATTTGACCGGCTTCACATAGTCTGATGCATCCGGAACTCTACCTCACTTAGAGCCAAAAGTTGGCAAAATGGGTTTGGCTAAACAAGGATCGGTTGAGAGTAGAATGGATGAATGAATGGTAAGCGCTGCTTTCATTTGGTGACAGGAACCAGATAACAAAATAATGGAAGAGCACACCTCAGTGCTGTACCTTATGAAGATATGTTTGGCCTTGGATGCTCCTATAGTGACTTCTATTGCTGAGCAGGGCAGCTCAGCTGAACAGAGTAGACTCTGAGCTGTCCCACTAGCTCCTTGGCCAGGTCCAGGTTCCCTCTTCTACATTCAGCCCTACAGCTCTTGCAATAGCCTCCCTGCTTCTGGCCCTGAGAAGGGACTGAGTGGGCTTCTTGCAGATCACAGCCTTACTTCCACAATGGCCTCATCACACCTTTTTGTGGAAGACACTGCAATTAATGACAAAGTGCACAGTCTGTCTAGACAAGATGACTGTAATGCTACTTCTTTACCTCTCTGGTACCTCATTACATTTTGCATAGATTTTTTTCTAGAGCAGCACTGCCCAGGAAGCCAGCTGCTAGTTACATGAGGCTATCTATGCAGCTTTGAAATGTGATTAGTGAGACTGAAGAGGCGGATTTTTCACATAATTTAATTTCAATTTATTTGAATTCAAATAACCATATGTAGCTGGTGGCTAATGTGTTGGATAGCACAATTCCAGAGGCTGGCCTCCTTATGTTACTCTTCTGTTAATTTAGTTTGGGCTAATATTTATAGAACATCTTTTATGTGCCTAGCACTATACTTAGAATTTTGCATGTATTCATCCAATTTTCACAAAACTTAATGAACCTCATTATATTATTTACGTTTTCCAGAGCAGAAAGTTAAATTTTATAGAGACGAAGAGGCCTGTTTCAAATCATACAGGCAGGAGACAGGATTCAAAATAAAGTCTATCTGGCTTCAGTCCCTTGTTTCTGTACAAAAGAATGAGACTAAATCAGCGGAAATGAAGGGTGAAACAAAATGGACACAAGACAATTAAAATACAACCTTTACTATAATGAGTTATTTCATTTTATTGCTTATTGTAAACACTCTGGCCATAGCACACACATTAGTTTCTAAATAACCATAATTCAAAACCTTCACATTATATACTATTTTCCTTCAAGATGTATCGTCTATGAAAATACCAGTAACTCCAAAAGTCTATATGGATAATGTGCACATTTATCCTATTGTGACACTAAATACAAACAGTAAAAATAGTCATCAGTGTAGGTCTTTGGGTCTGTGCTGTGCCTTAAGGGTAGCCATAAAACAACCCAAAGGGGGGATGAGGTAGATTCGTGGATTCAGATGGCTCCTATGCGGGTAATGTTTGCAGAACATAGGAGGTACACAATAAATGTTTATCGATGGCAAAGATGATGAGAATTCAATTTGCAATCTGGTCTTTTCCTCTCCATTTTTCTTAAGGAATTTATGGCTCATTTGCAACCAACATTGTAAATGTCTCAGAGACCCCCACACTTTGAGTTGCAGAGCTGCTGTGTAATTGGATCTGGTCACACTTGCAGAAGAGAGAGAAAACATATGTACTGTTAAAACTGTGCTAAAATTCCAGTCCTTAGAATAGGCTGGAACTCTTGAGTGCTTTGTGTCCTTTTAAGTCAGAAAATCATCAGTGCCTACAAATCAAGTAAGTCATTCAAAACAAATCTAGCTTTTAGATCTGATCAGCTAGACTTCATTTCAGTCAGATCAATGTATCTGAAAGAAAATATGATACTTCTATGAACTACTAAGTTTCCTAACTACAAGGACAGGAACTATAATTTTATACCTTCAGATACTTCTTTTGATTATTTTATTCAGCAAAATTCTTAGAATCATTTTGGGACTTCACTGAATTATGATGATGATGTTAGATTAAACATTTTAGATTTAACTGCAAAGTGATATAAAAATTTGAACATCTCTTCCCAGTATTCTTTTATGCATGCAGTGCAGTGTATTTAAGCAGACTTGTAATAAAGATCTTTCTAACCAGCTACTAGCAAGTTGTGTTCATCATGGTGTACTTCTGGTGAATAAAAGTGATACAGTTTTGTTGTTGTTCAGATTTATTTATTTATTTATTTATTTATTTATTTATTTATTGTTCAGTTTTATTGAGAAATAACTGACATGCATCACTGTATAAGTTTAAGGCATACAGCATGATGGTTTGCTTTACATATGTTGTAAAATGATTATCATTGTAGATTAGATAACATCCACCTTCTCATATAGATACAATAAAATGAAAGTAAAGAAGATATAAGAAAAAAAATGTTCTTATGATGAGAACTCTTAGGATTTACTCTCTTAACACCTTTCTTATATACCGTACAGCAATGTTAGCTCTAGTCATTATGTTGTATGTTACCTCCCTAATGCATATTTATCTTACAATTGGAAGTTTATAACTTTTGATCACCTTCTTCTAATTCACCCTTCCTCCCACCCACCATCTCTGGTAACCACAAGTTTGATCTCTTTATCTATGAGTTGTTGTTTCCTTTTAAGATTCCACACGTGCAAGTGAGATCATAGAGGATATGGTCTTTTTTTTTTTTTTTTGTCTGATTTATTTTGCTTAGCATATCACTTTTAAGGTCCATCCTTGGTGTTCCAAGGTGTTCCTCATTTTTAATAGCTGAATTACATTTCATTGTGTAAACATACACACACACACACACACACACACACATCTTCCTTATCCATTCATCCATTGATGGACACTTGGTTTGTTTCCATGTCTTGGCTCTTAGAGGAAATAATGCTGCTATGAATATGGGGGTACAAGATATCTTTTTGAGGTAGTATTTCCATGTTCTTTGGACATATTCTCAGAAGTGGAATTGCTAGATCATTTGATAGTTCTATTTTTAATTTTTTAAAGATTTCCTCCATACTATTTTCCATAGTAGCTGCACCGATTTATATCCTCACCAGCAGAATCTCTTATGATCCTTTGAATTTCTGAAGTATCATCTGTAATGTCTCATTTTATATTTGTAATTGTGTAGATTTGGGTCTTTTTTTTTTCTTGGTTGGTCTGACAAAATTGATTTTGTCAATTTTATCTTTCCAACGACAACCAATTTTATCTTTCCAAACTCTTAGTTTGGTTTATCTTTTCTATTATTTTTATGTTTTCTATTTCTGCTCTAATCTTATTTTCTTTCTTTTGCTAACTTTGGGCCCAATTTGTTCTTCTTTTCCTAGTTCCTTAAGGCCTAGAGTTACGTAGCGTATTTGGGATCTTTCTTGCTTCTTAATGTAGATATTTATTACTATGAGCTTCTCTCTTACAACTGCTTTTGCTACTTCCCATGAGTTCTGATGTGTTGTATTTCCATTTTTAATTTGTCTCAATAAACTTTTTAAACTTTAATTTCTTATTTGATCCACTGGTTGTTGAGGACAGTGTTAGTTGTTATATATTTGTGTATTTTCCAGTTTTCCTCATTACTTATTTCTAGTGTCACACTACTGTGATCAGAGAAGACACTTGGTAGGAGTTCAGTCTTCCTAAATTTGCTAAGACTAATTTTGTGTCCTAACGTATGGTCTATCCTGGAAAATGTTTCATGTACCCTTGGGAAGAATATGTATTCTGCTGTTGTTGAGTAGAATGTTCTGTATACAACTGTTAGGTCCATTTGGTCTATAGTGTTGTTCAAATTCACTGTTTCCTTATTGATTCTCTGTCTGGATGATCTATTTTTGAGAGTGGGGTGTTAAAGTCCTCAACTATTATTATAATACTGCTTATTTTTTCTTTTAACTCTGTTAGTTTTTGCTTTATATATTTAAGTCCTCTCTTGGGCACTTAAATATTTATAATTGTTATATCTTATTGATGTATTCACACTTTTATCATCCCATAATGACCTTTGACTCTTTTTTACTAATTTTAGTTTAAATTCTATTTTGTCTGATATAAGTATAGCTATCCTTGCTTTTTTTTTTTTTTTTTTTTTTTTTTTTTCTGGTCAGCATTTGCTTGAAAAGTCTTTTTCCTGTCTGTTCATGTTCACTCTCAGTCTCTCAGTGTCTTTAGGGCTAAAGTGAACCTCTTTTAGGCTGATATTGTTGGATCTTGTTTTTTTAAATCCACTCAGCCATTCTATGTCTTTTGACTGAAGAATTTAGTGCATTTACATTTAACATAATTGTCTGTAGGTAAGGGCTTACTATTGCCATTTTGTTAATTTTTTTCTCATTCTTTTGTAGAGCCATCATTCCTTGATCATATCCCACTGTCTTTTATTGTTTTGATCTTTTTGGTGTCAGTATTCTTGGATTTATTTATTGTGTTCTTTTGTGTGATTACTAGAAGATCTTCCCTTGTGGTTACCATGAGATGTGCACAACATATCTTAAACTTATAACACTCTATTTTAAACATATTAATAACTTAAATAGAATTTTTATACTTTACACTTTTACTTCTGCCCCTCACATTTTAGATTATTGCTGTTACAACTTATATTTTTTATATGGCGTAACTAATAACAGATTATTGTATTTATGGTTCTTCTTGCTACATTCCTCTTAAGAGAATTTTAAACTAGAGTTGTAAGTGAGTGATATATCACTATTACCATATTGCAGAATCCCATTATGACTACATATATGCTATTGCCAGTGAGATTCGTGTTACCTTTCTGTGTTTTTGTAATATTATTTATAAAGGTAGTTAAAGAACTCCCTTTGGAATTTCTTGTAAGGCAGGTCTGGTTGTAATTAACCTCCTTAGCTTTTGTTTGTTCAGGACAGTCTTTAGCCTTCCTTCATTTCTGACAGACAGCTTTGCTAGCTATAGAATTTTGGTTGACAGTTTTCTTTCAATATTTTGACTATGTCATCCCATTTTCTCCTGGCCTGAAGAGTTTCTGTTGAGAAATCCAATAGTCTTATAAGGGGTTCCTTGTATGTAAGTTCTCTCTTTTCTCTTGGTGCTATTAAAAATATTTTGTCTTTGAGTCTTGACAATATAATTATAATGTGTTTCAGTGTAGCCCTCTAAGGTTCAGCCTGTTTGGGTCCTTTGGACCTCATGGATCTAGATATCCATCTCTCTCACCAGGTTCAAGAAGTTTTCAGCCATTATTCTTTTAAATAGATTTTCTGTCCTTTTCCTCCTTCTGGAATTCCTATGATGCAGATGTTATTTCTTTTCATTGTCATATAATTTCCATAGGCTTTCTTTACTGTTTTTAATTTTTTCTTTTTTGACTGGATAATTTCCAATGTCCTACCCTTTAGGCTGCTGATTTTTTTTCTGCATGTTTGAATCTACTTTTGAAACTCTCTACTGAATTTTTCAGTTCATTTATTGTATTTTTCAACTCTGGGATTTTTGTTTTTTTTCTTTTTGATGGTTGCTATTTCCTAGTCAGATGTCTCTTTCTGTTCATGCATTGTTTTCCTAATTTTGTTTCGTTGTTTGTCTCTGTTCTCTCAAAGTTCACTAAACCTCTTTAAGGGAATTATTCTGAATTCTTTGTCTGATAGTTTATAAATTTCCATTTCTTTAAGGTCAGTTGTTGGAGCCTTTTAGTTTCTTTTGGTGGTTCATTCATATTTCCTGATTTTCCATGATCCTTGATTTCTTGCATAGGTATCTGAGCATTTGAGTAATTAATCTTTACTTCCAGACTTTACAGTTTTGCTTTGGCAGAGGTAACTTCACTGGTTGGATCATTTTGTTTTCCTGGGTGTGTCTGTTGGTAATGTCTTTGGGCAGGTTGGGCCTACTATTATGGACTGCTTTGGGCAAGGCAACTATTCAAGTCCTGAGGACAAGGATGGAGTGTTGTGCCACTGGCTGAAAATAATTGGATATGACTGCTGGCTTGGTTCCCTATCCAAATGAGGCTGTAGGATCGGGTCCTCAGTTGACTTATTCTCTTCTAAGACTTATTAGATGATTGGGACTGGGTCTATATTCAGTAGTAGATGGAGCTATGTTTCCTGCTTCTCTGCTCTGGCAGGACAGCAGCCAATGTTCAGAGCCCATTAAAGATCATTATTTGGGGGTTCCAAATCAGGCCTGAGTGTCCAATGAATTCTCTGGTCAGGTGATGCTCTACAGATGGAGGAAGCCATGGGCTGTGCTCTCTGTTCAAGTGTCACTGTAAGTAGGGCTGTTAGAGGGACTATGCAGTTCCTGTGTGTTCTGGTTAAGTTCCCTGGTCAGATAGCTGAATGCTATATTCAGGAATGAGCAAGGCCATACATTAGTTTCCCCGCCTGTGTGCAACAGGAGAAGCAGCTCTAAAAATGGTAAAGCTCTTTGTTGTCTTAACTCAAGCAGACCCATGCCTTATGAGCCCTGGCCAAATGAGGCCACTGACTTTGCAAACTACTGGCTCTCCCTTCTCTCAGCTCAAGTGCCACTAGGCCATGGAGCTTTTAGGAGTTGTCTCTAGCCCTTCTGCTCAGATGGGGCTGAAGGCACTCTCCACGGTAGATGGGGCTGTTACTCAGTGCCCTGCCTGGGTACGAGCAAGCAGGGCTGTGGGGCTGGCAAAATTTTTGTTTGAGGATCTGAATCAAGCAGATATGCACCTCTTCCAAGTTCACTCTTCCCAGTTTGGTTCAGCAGATGAGTAAGGCCACTGGGTAAATAAGTCTAATTACTTTTAGACACTGCCAATATGAACCTGGTCTGCCAACAAACATGTGCTAGTTGTTGCAAGCCCCTTCCTCATTCTCTGTCACAGTTATATTTCTGTTGGCTGAGCCCTACAATTCCAGCGGTATGTGATGAGGGTATGGATGCCCACAGAGTGACCCACAATGCTGGGGGGCCAGTGCCTGATTGCTCCCTGTTGGGTTCTCTTTTCCACTGGAAGAACTGGAAGCTTAGGAAACACCTCTCCCTATGGTGCTATACTGTCCTGGGGGAGGAGCAATACAGTCAACATGTAGCCACTTCTTTTACCTCTCTAATGCAGTCTATCTTGGTCTCTGAAGTGCAGTAAGGGGGTGCTTCAGCCTCATTCCTGTGTTCTAGGATTCTCTCTGTGGTGTCTTGTTTTTGGATAATTGTTGGTTGTTCTTGTGAGGGGGAGCAAATTAGGGCATGATGTATGTCACCATCTTAGTAACATCACTTTCCCCCAATATTTTGTCAATGTAAATTTTAAATACACAAAAGGACCCACATAAAAATATAAATGTTAAGGTCACTTGCAGCAAAATACGGCACATTAGAATTATTTAGTAAAAAGTTTTATACTTGAAGGTAGGCACTTGGTAACATTTGGGTTTTGGCAAAAGGCAACAGTTTGATGTCAATATCTTAACCTATTAACTATATAACTTTTACAAGGGAATAGATTTCCAAAATATTACAGAAGAGAAACAAATTTGTCTAGACCATATATGAATGGAATTCCACAGACCAGAATCCAAATTTCATTTTTCCTTTTTTGCATAAACTATTATATATCTTCATGGACAAGTTCTACAGTTTTACTCCCTGATGTAAAATCCCTTCGAACTATTTGGCTTCTAATCTTTTGATCTGAAAAGAAGTATTTGTTGCTTGTGGAATTTAAAACAATTTTTTCCCACAGTTGGAATAACCTTTGTTATAATAAAACACTAATTAAAGTCAGATGATTTTTAGGTAGCAGTAGCTAGCACTAAAGAGTTCTTGGCTTCAGGCAGCTGTTGAATCCCTCTGGTCCTGTTTTAACTGTCAAATTAAATAGAAAAGATTCAACTATTCTAGTTGTTTTCATTATTGGAGGCATAGAAATTTACTTCACGCTTACCTAAACCATGAGTAGAATGTTTGGGACCCATCTACCATTTGATTTAGCTGTCCTTTCTAGAACATTTCTCTACCAAATAGATTCTGTTTGAAGTCTTAGTAATAGGGAACTTCACAAAACAATCTAGCAATAAGGAAGCTCCAACTCCTCTTTCTTATCCTGAAACCAAAGTTCCTTGTTCTTAACCAGAAATCAAAGTTCCTGTAGCTTCCATCCAGTGCTTCAAACAGTGAAAGGCACAGAGTAGGCTCTCGTGTACTTGAACAGTATTTATTGATTAACAAAAAATGGATGATTCTAGTTCTGACTTTTAAAGCTACACAGAATATAGTTGTTTCCTTATGCAGTCCAGGCTGTTCTCTTCTCTTACATCATTCTTCTCTTTTCCTGGATCAGTATTGCAATTGCAATTTCCTTAAGCAATATGAGTTTCAGATGTTTTGTCTATCTCGTTACTCTTTTCTGCATATTCTTGCATTGATCAGTACTCCAGATGGGGTCAGCTCAGAGAAGTATCAGTATCTCAGCCTGGATATTTAATTTGACATATTGTTTGACCACAAAAAAGTATTCCTTACAGCAATTCTCTCTTGTTTCTGGGTAGAGGCTTTTTATTCCATGCAAGATCTCTGATCGGCACATATTCTGTTCTGGGAGAAGGACTGTTTCCTCAAATTTCCAGGGTAAGGAGGGGGTGGAGAACGCTGTGCTGAAGCCTGTGGGGTCGGGGAGTAGGGAGGTGGCAAGTCGGCACAGTATTCCATCTCATGGTCATAACTATAGGGGGGTGGTGCCACTGAAAAACACAAGGTAAAAGGCATCAGGCATTTAGCAAATATTTGAGTGTCTACTATGTTTAAACCATTGGGCTGAGTACTTCAGGGATGGGTCATGATTTTTGCCTATAGGTTGAAGGCACATATATATGAAAGGGCAAGTGCTACAAAACATGGTGCCATTGGCCAAAATGTTTAGAATTGGTTGCTTAGGGAAAGTTTCTTGGAAATATGATGCTAAAAGGGAAGATAAAGGAAAGACTAGGGACTGATTCCAGATTGAGCAAAAGCATAGAAGCAAGAGAGCACTTTTGTTGAAAGCAAAAAGTACATGGGGTGGGGAATGGGAAAAAGTGTTGAGGAATCTGATTGTATCATCATCCTGGTGGGCTTTGAATATCACATAAAGAGTGTGTGATGTGCAGTTACCAGAGATTTTTTTGAATATGCAAATAAATATGCTTTGGGAAGGTGATTTTCTCAGCAGTATGGATTGAAGTAGAAAAAAAGGAGAGATGATGTAATAGTATATGTGAAGGATTATGCAGGACATATGGCATTGAGGGGAAAAATTATGACACCTTGGGCAGTTGAGTTCTTAGGTGATGACTAGGTAGGTAGGTAAAGGTGGAGAGTGAAAGAATGTGTCCAGGTATTGGGCACCCTTTATTGGGCTTCTGTAACCCAGAGGGCCATGGAGCCATTATAGGAATAAGAAAAAAAAGTGTTGGTAAGCATATTTGTGAATGGGAATGAAGAACTTAGTTTTCTAAATATTATTTGATAAATTTTTAAAAATTATTTTACTATAATATTTTAATACACTTTATTGTGACTTTTTATGGATTCTGTAGTGATCTCAATCCCATGTCAAGGATTGGAGAGAGGTACCCCTTGAGTATTCCATGTCTTCAAGAACCAATCATTCTGCAACATCTGAGCACCCCTTTGATGATTTTCCAATAGTTGAATTATCATCAAGATCATGATTCTAGTTGGAAATTGACATCCTGTAATTGCTTGCTATGAATGTAGTCTAAATCACGAGACTAGTGTCATAATAATGCAAATAAATGGGCAAGCTTTTTTAACATTAGAATGGCAGAAAAGAACAAGCAACATTTCAATAAACATATTTCTAAAATGTCTTCTAGGGACGCCTGGCTGGCTCAGTTGGTGGGGCACGCAACTCCTGATCTCAGGGTTGTGGATTTGAGCCCCACACTGGGTGCAGAGATCATTTAAAAATAAAGTTCTAAAAAAATAAAATATAAACAAAATGTCTTCTAAATTGTGCTCTTACCCATAAGATTATGGTAGTGTTCTGATCAATATGCAGGTACAAACATAGGGCTTCACCCTATATGCAAACACTAACAATGTTTCTTCTGGATCCCTTTAACCTGGCTTGCTTTATCAGGAGCTTGATGATTTAAACCACTTACTGATCTCTCTGCTTGTACTCAGGGATGTGAGGACACAGAAGTGGGTCACCTAAGAAAAAGGAAAATGTAGAGAGAGAACCAAGTAGGATGTCCTCTGAGGACTGCTCTACTGAGCCAAGGCTTCACAAGTCTCCAGTGGGCTCTACAGGCCAAGGGCTCATGGCACAGGACACAGCAGTATACAGCTTCTCTAAGGCTGCTTTCTACACTTGGAGGCTGGACTATCAAAAGCTTTGTTTTCTGTAACAAAATGGAACAACTCCTGTGGAGTCTAAACACACATTCCCTCTGCATTACACCCACTCCTCTGCTTCATTATATCCAGGAGAGCTAAGATTTATAATATACTTCATCCAAGCCAACAAATACAGGCTCCATGTAAAATAGAAAGTTACAGCTGGATACCCATTGAACTGTTTCTTGTAATCGTGTGGTTCTAAGCTGTTTTTATGTTGAAGGTTTTCCCTACCTCCTACTTGTGGAGCATACACTGAATGATTCTGTAGAATTCTGTAGAATCAGATTGACTCTGCACCATTCTCTGTCATGAAGCCATGGAGTCTCTTTATGCTTCGGTAACAAAGCGTTTATATTTTGCTTTCTGCATTAAAACTGCTAGAGGACACTTCAGTGAGATTCCCTATGGTTTATACAGCTGCATGGTGAACATGCAAATTTAGATATGATTACATTCATATAGCCTTCTTATATAGCCTTTGAAGTTTGATAAAGTGATAATATAATGCAGAAGAACAATATTTTGAGGACTATCCATCATGAAATAAACATAGCACACCCTTTATCATAGCGGCTACTGGAAGACATTTTGAAATAAGACTTGTGTAGCTGTGGACTGTGCTGTCCTTCTTTCCTGCAGATAATAAGGTTTCACTAGGAAGTAAACTTCTCAAGTATCAGTTTTAGAAAATTCCTGATTAACTCTAAGAGGTTTTGTTCTTTCTTAAAGGTCAAATCATCTTTCAAAGATGTATGGATGCAGCTGGAGATATGGTGCCTTTGAAATCTTTCATCATCAATATTCCAACTCTCTGATTTAAGTACAGCAAATATGCCATTCATCTTCAATGTCATAGTTTTCTACAATATTTCAGAATTTATGGATGGTATGAAATTCCATAGAAGAAATTTAATGTTTTTCACTCACTCAGGTCAACATCTCTGAATCAAAGGGGGAGATGAACAGCATTACCAAAACCTACCACATTATTTTTTTAACACTTATTTATTTTATTTTTATTTTTATTTTTTTAAGATTTATTTATGATAGACACACACACACACACACAGAGGCAGAGACACAGGAGGAGAGAGAAGCAGGCTCCATGCCGGGAGCCCGACATGGGACTCGATCCTGGGACTCCAGGATCGCGCCCTGGGCCAAAGGTAGGCGCCAAACCGCTGAGCCACCCAGGGATCCCCCTACCACATTATTTTTAAAAATTTGGAAACAGAGGAAAATCATCCATAATTCTGTCATTATACTTTAATAAATAATATATAGTCTCTTCTAATCATTTGTGATTTTTATATCTTGTAGTCATGTAAAATGACTACATGTTTTTATACTTTGTATTATAGTTTTTCTTATTCTGCTACATATTCTTCATAAACTTTATTGTTAATGGCTGCATATTATTCTGATTGTTGACTTATTTTGAGATTAACAATTTTTTTTATCATAAATAAGGGAGAGATGGATATCCTTCTACACATAGACTTTTAAAAATTATTTTGAATTATTCCTTTTGATTAAAATTCCAGGAATCAACTAAGTGGTTATCATCATTTAACATTTTGGTAATTTAGTAGAAAAAAATAGCTCTTTATTTTACATTTCTTTGGTAGTAGCTAGATTTGACATTGATCTACAACTTGTTTACTGTCTGTAGTTTATATTTCTTTTAAAGATTTATTTTATTTATTTGAAAGAGAGAGTTGAATAGGGGGGAGGGTCAAGCAGATTGCACTGAGTATGGAACTCACTGGATTGCACTGAGTATGGATCATGATCTGAGCCAAAACCAAGAGTCAGATGCTTAACTGGCTGAACCACCAGGCGCCCCTACTGTTTGTAGTTTATACTGGGTGATTGTTGCTTGTTTTGGACTGGTAATCTAAAAACTGAAATCTTAATTAGAATCAAGATATAATTAAGATAAGATATAAACAAGTATACAAAGCTATGTATCTTTTCTAGATATCTTTCTAAAAATAAATGTCAAAATGGTTAATTATATTATTTTTACCTTATTGACATACCAAAACTTAAAACTTATATATAACAAAATATATGCTTCTTCATCTTTTTGATCTCTTCTGTGTTGTTAAACTTAAAACTTTGCCTTCTCTTTTGGATATCTGATATATAACCAAACTATTTCTGAGTTTTTCCATTTAAATTATATATTTATAGCTTCCTTATGTATATTATTTTACTTGATATATCAATTTTTGTGTCAAAGTTTATTTTTCCTAAGTTTTAAATTTTGGTCAAGCCAAATTATCCATATGGCTTCTTAATCCTCATTTTTCACATTGTTTTGTTATCTCTCCTTAAGTTTGTAAAATTTTAATGAAGTTGTTCTGTTCCAATGACCAAGCTACATCTTTTTGTACTATTAACACCTCATTTTAATTATTTTTTATTTTAAATGGTTTTAGTATATACTAGGACAAGTGAATCTCATGACATTTTTAAAAACATGCTTTAAAAATATTTTTTAACTGAGAAATAATTGACCTATAACATAGTGTAAGTTCAAAGTGCACAACATGTTGTCACGGTAAGCAAACTAAAATGTAAGTCTGTAAATGCTTCAAACATGAAATCAAAACAAAAGGACAATCAATCAAAACAGCCAACTAGGTTTTAAGCTATAGCCAGTGAAATAATTTCCTTTCTTTGCTTCCACATTTTCGCTATATTAGGAGGGGTACTCCTTTTTTTTAAAATATTTTTTTAATTTTTATTTATTTATGATAGGCACACAGTGAGAGAGAGAGAGGCGGAGACACAGGCAGAGGGAGAAGCAGGCTCCATGCACCGGGAGCCCGATGTGGGATTCGATCCTGGGTCTCCAGGATCGTGCCCTGGGCCAAAGGCAGGCGCTAAACCGCTGCGCCACCCAGGGATCCCAGGAGGGGTACTCCTAAACACTTCCAGTTTGGTGCTGTCTGATTCAAATCAATTTTTGCTCAAATAAACACTTAAAATTTCTAGTATACCTCAATTTCTCTTTAATACATCTTAGCATTAACTTATGACATTTTAAAAGATTTATTTATTTATTTTAGAGAGAGAGAGATAGAGAACAAGTGGGAAAAGGGGCAGAGGGAGAGAATCTTCAAGCCGACTCCATGATAAAGGTGGAGGCCCACATGGGGCTTGATCCCATGACCCATGAGATTGTACCTTGAGCTGAAACCAAGAGTCACATGCTCAACTTTCTAAGCCATCCAGGCAAATATAGTTTATGACATTTTTAAAGACAACTCCTAATGTTATTGCTATGAGCAAACCTTCTCCACCCTCTCACAAACCCCACTACTCACAA